ATTCTTCCACATTCTCGCAAGGCCTAAAGTGTGGTATCCAGAATAAGCCAAAGTAACCAAACTGATGTTTATTTAACTTCCTTGTTTTTAAACGCTGAGCTTCTATTACAAAAATACTGTAATCTTTTTAACAGCCTTCTTCACTTTTTCTGCTGCCTTCAGGTGTTCCCAAATATTTTCTAAAATGTTAGGATTTGGTTCCCAATACCTCAGAGTTAATGTTTCGAGTTGAATGACATTCCTCAGAACCCACTTCAGAATCACATATCTTTCAATACATCATTTCTCATTTTTCTAAACTTCAATGAGCAGAGCCCAAGTCTAATCAACTTTGCCCTTCATAAAACAATTCTTTCATTCCAGGGAATAGCCAGCTAAAACTTATCTAATCTGTTTTCAACGACAGCAGTCCAAAGATGTTCATAGCATTCGAGATATGGTCCCACCAATGCCCTGCGCACTAGCATGACTTTGCAACTCTTAAACTCCATCTCCTATACAATAAAAAATATTGCTTTTACCTTCTTAATTGTTTTCTGTAACTGCATGCTAAAATTTTGTACTACATTTACAAGGGTCATCCAAGTGGTCCAGGATCACTGCTCAGAAATGGCTCAAATTTGGCAATTCATGGGCCTTGCAAAATAGCAACATGATGGCTATTGGTAAAAAGTGAAAGCCACCATCCTCTGCAGTAAGGTGCACTAATCTCAGCTTCAAATTATAGCATATGCCTATTTGGAGCAGATTAATAATTTGTAAAATGTTGTTTAGTACTAGAGTAATTATTTGTTGATTCAAGTCATTCAAGTGATTCAAGTTATATTATTTTCGTTGATTTCTTTGAACAAAAGTTAAACTGAGGGTTTCAATGAATGCAACACATTCCAGAATATAATTACATTTAGACTTGTTCCTCAGTTTCTGTTTGATCTTCTGACTTGTTTACAAATCACTTATTCTGGTCAGTATTCAAGACTGTCCCCTGTTATAAACTCAATAAATGAACTGTAAAAAAGGCAACACGAAAAAAAAAATTGTTTCTCATTAGCCATTATGAAGTGCACATTTAAACTGTTGGGATAAAATGAAATTCATTCCTTTTATCTTTAGCAGCCAGTGACACACAACTGTTGGAGAGACTCAGAATGTTCATTGGTTTTCAAAGCAGAAAGAAGTTCCTTTGAACAATTCAAAATGCATTCCATAAACTTTTACAGAAGAAAATCATTGGCTGTTTTTCCAGATAAAAATTTGGATAGTTAAATTGCAGTCAATATGGTTATCAATAGTTCACTTTTCACTTTAGCACATATTAACATACATCATCTGTGTCTGTGGCAACATTAAATAAAACTTGTGAATGACTAGTGTCAATGATGAATGTGAAGACAGATTTGTACTACAGATCGATGCCCCATAGGAAAGGAGCATATCGAGAGATGGGGAGGTGATGGTCTGGTGGTATTATCACTGGACTGTTAATCTAGAGACCCAGGTAATGCTCTGGGTTCAAATCTCAATATGGTGGAACTGAAATGAATTCAATTTTTTTAACAATCTGAATTAAGAGTCTAATGATGATCATGAATCCATGGTTGATTGTTGAGGAAATCCATCTGGCTCATTAATGACATTTAGAAAAGGAAACTGCCATCCTCACCTGGATTACAGCCCCACAGCAATGTGGTTGACTTTAACAACCTTCTGGGATGGGCAATAAATGTTGACCTAGCCAGTGATGCCCTCATCCCACAAATGAATTTTAAAAATTCAGAATCTTACTAGTTGTTAGAGAATCTCCTTGGGATTGAATTTAAGTTTTATTCTTGCATGAGTGATTTGTATTTTGTACAATCTGTATGACTAAATGTTTAATTCTTTATCTTTTTATACTTTAAATAGTGCCTAATCTTTGCACAATGTGACTTTACCAAGTGAACGAGCAGAAATTTAAATGTTTTATCGTTAATGCAGTTTACTCCTGTACCTATAAATTTACGTAGTAAAAATTACGTATGGACAAAATTCTAAACATCCTCTTCACCTGCGAAATGATTGTAAACTAATGTGACTTATTGATCACAACGGAAAGCACCAGAGAGATGCATGACACAACCTCTACACAACCTTCAGAAATGACTTCGTCTTTCTTATGTACAACATTTTTTAGGATCTTTGCAATCATAATGTAATGCCACCAAAGGGCACTGAAACGCTGCACAGCAAAACTGATATGAACCAGTGAAAGATATGACCAAATCAATGCTCCCTACAAATGAACAGTTCTACATAGAAAAACTGGAAGAAGGAAATTGTGAAAAAACAAATTATCTGCATGGTAAATTGATTATTTAACATGGCATGTGGATTGAAGCATGCCAATGCACAACATCCACTAGTGACTCCTCTGAACTGCCCTGTTCTCTTATTCATCCCTCCTCTCCATTCAGTCCACCTTTCACATAGCAATTCAACAAGACCCTTCCCATGCCTTCCTCCATTGTGCAGAAATGGTCCAAGGTCCACTACCATTCAATGCTCTTCGACCTTCATACTGTCCTCTCTGTCACCCTCTGCTATCGTTTTATCCTTATCTTCTTCTAGCTCTCTGTTCCCTCTGTCAGCCTCCTCTCTGCCTCCCCTCCCCACTCCCCTCGTACCCTTTCCAATTATCCCATCATGTTTTAACCTGATCAACCTGAATACAGAATTTGGTCTTGATACCATATGGGAGATCAATAAACACCTGTAGCACCAATTTCATGCGGATACCATTCAAATTCAGGTGAGATTCATGTTGTGGACATAGTAATTTGACAAGAAAACAATGAATGGAAAGTGAAAAGTATTTTTTAAATATATTAATGGAGGTGCAATATAAATTTAATAGAACTGACCAGAGGGACCAGCAACATTAGCAGATAAACTTACTCGTCAATATTACTGCAAACGGTAGTCATTTGAGAGGTTTGCTTTGATCTTTCCTGTGTACCAGGAATTGAATATCTTAACATGACTACAAGGCTTGCTGTTTTCAGGAATGGCACCTTTAACTTCTTGAGAGGCAGATACACACAAGTGGCTCATGCCATATGAAAGTTTCTAGATTCATGCCCTTGCTGGAGCTGATCATTCACAGCTGCTGCTCTGCTTGAGTGCAGGCCAGTGCATAGCAACAAGCTCTGCAAATCCTCACTCATAGTTCACTGAAATGTGCACCCAACCAGGGGGACCTCTACATTGCTTCATGACCATTTCCAAAGGGATGGAAGCATCTGCAACTGTGGAAACCAATATTTAACAAGAAATAAATTGAATTTCATATATCCTTCCAGCCTCAGCTGCTAGGTGACCTCCTCTTGATCTGCTGTTCAATGGTCTTCCATACCTGCTTCACTATTGTAACATCAGTGGCTCTTTTCCTCAATTGCATACAGTTTGTTTCATAAAGCTCTAATGTGGCATGCAAATCTTGACCAGTAAATTTCGATTTATGCTTCTGCACTCTCTCAGTTTCTTTACAAAAGTAATTGCACCATAATAAGATGTGACCACAATGTTACGTTTACTTAGTAAAGCAACATGCTTGTTGTTATTTTTTGACTGGCCAGTCGTGCAGCAATTTTAACACTTCTTTAATGCATTTGAGCTTCCAGAAATTACCCAGTAAACCTGTATATTCATGCAACTGCATTAAAACAAATGGAAAAATTCTTCAATGGGGTAGAAGTAAATTTTGTTTCACCAGCTGTTGCATATCTGTAAAGTTTGCGGAAACAACATGTATGGCTTGCTTCAAACATAATCACTTAAAAAAGTGATAGATTTTTCAAGAAGGCCGGAGCTTATTACTGTGTACATAAAATGGCCTGGGATTTCAGAAGAAAAACACAACTATGCTCTACCATTCTAAAATAATATTTTCTAATTTCTATGAACAAAATACAACAAAGAAAACCAGACAGAGTAAAATTTGCCGTGTATTTAGAGCAAGAGAGAAGGGCAGGATCAGGTTTATCTCGCCTTTTATTTTTTCTTGGCTCACACAAATCAATCTTGATGGCAGCTTCAAAATAAAAGCTATTTAATCTCAGCTATTACCAATTGAAAAAGAACAGTATGACTGAAGAAACCAATAGTGAACTCAAAGATAACAGCAGGATTCATAAAAAAAATCTGAAAATTTGCTATATTGTCCTTTTTGCATACTTTCACTTCTTCTGAACTGTGTTTACTTGCCTTAGTGATTGCAGTAAAGACTTTTTCCAGGATAGCATTTGGCTGAGCTTTCTGCGGTCCATTCGCTTGAATTTTGAGGCCCAAAGCACATGGTTTAGCAATAAACCTGTGAAAATACAGATATTATAAAATGACTCATTAAGTGAGGAGAAACAGTGACATAGTGGTAATGTCACTAAGCTAATATTCCGAGGGCCAGGCTAGGCTCTGGCGCCCTGGATTCAACTCCACCATCGTAGTTGGTGAATTCACCTAATTAAAAACTGCATGGAATGAAAGGTCATCTCCGTCCTGGTGACCGTTAAATTGTAGTAGATTGTGTGATAAACCTATAATCTTCACCTTTCAGAAGACTGCGGTGATTTAAGAAGGTTTTCATGTCAACTGGTTCTTGGACGGGGTCAGAGTTCCCAGCTGCCTGGCCCTCTTTCATGGCTATGTCATGGCCTAGGTATCCTTAGTGAGGGAGCATGTGGTGTCCCACACCACCCTCAAAGTATTTAAAGAAAGATAAACATATTTTGATTTCCCTCTTTCACTACATATTGTTGCACTGCTCCTGGTGAAGCAGTGCTTGTAAATTTTGATTTTAATTCATGACATGAGTGATTTGGCAGTGGGATATTTAAAAAAAAACAAAAAGGGGCTCACCTCCACCTTAAGTAAAATTAGGGATAGACAACAAATGCTGGCCTTGCCAGTGATGCCCATAAAGCATGAAAGAATAAAAAAAACTAAGTCAATGTAAAGCTTCACAATTAATTCTACCTTGTGATAGTGTGTTAGAATAAAGAAATCACTATAACCTTGTATGTGCTGTTTAGTCAATTTTGCTAGGATTCTGGAATATTCTAATCATGCTACCGTGCTAAACATAGCACTGGATGTTGCAAATAGCTGACAATGAAACAAATTCATTAGAATTTTTCATAGGGTTGGCAATCATGGGCTGTTGGATCAACTCTAATTATCAATTGAAAGCTATAGAAAAATATCAATATCAGCTTTAAAAAAGAAATCAAAACAGGAATGATATTTAAAAAGAATGACACTGTCAAATAGTGAGTTTCAAATCTCCATGGGTGACATTATCAGAGACAGGGGTAACATTCAGGAATGGTTAATTCACAAAATCAGCAATAGGAAACAGGACAGCAGTAAAATCCCTCACAGGTCTCCTTTCCATTAATTAAAACTTTCACTGCGAACTTAGATTAATGCAAATTAACTCAGGACTGAGTTTGAAATAAGTGTAGGAGCCTCATTTCAAGGCAGTCACCACAGCCAGCTAAATTAAAGTAACTTATCAGTTTAGCTGCAGCTCAAACTGCCATGCAGACTCTGCACCACCAAATTGGTTATCAGTGTTTCTATTATAAACTTATAAAATGGATTCAACAATGTCAAATTTAGAATTGAATAAAATTAGCATTGGTCCCATTGTTGTAGAGGTCTGTAAAAAATCTAACGTGAATCCAAGCAATTAGTAAATCAAATTAGTTGATTTACATTATTATTAATAACTATCCTTAGAAATGCAATGTAAAGATAGTTTCAATTTCTCATTAATATTTACTTAGCTTTTGTGATAGCAACGATATTGCGCATAACTATCTGTGGCTGACAATTAACCTTCCAAGAACAATACTAAAAGAAAACTTACTGTCTTTATTCGATATCTCATTTGTATTGAAAATAGAAGTTGAGTTGAGGGAGAAAGGAATATAGGGTACATCAATTCAGTGAAATGCAGTAAATACAGTAACAGTAATGTGAATTTACCTAAGAAACAAATATTGCAGTGCTTCAAAGCAAAAGCTTAGCACCACCTTCTTCAGGGCAAACCTAACTGGAAATACCAATATCCCATTAAAGTATATTAGAAAGGAAACTCTCGTAAAACTGCAGTACTGGCATAAACAGATTTTGTAAATATGGCCAGTTTCTAAATTGTACATTCTAAATAATCAGAGTTATATATATTTAAATGGCTTACACTGAACAATATAAGGTCAGTGATCTTTGGCCTTAAATTCTCTTGATATTTAATAAACATAATTCCGTCAGATTGGTTGTTACTTCATGTGAAACTATTTGAAGTCAGTATCACAAATATTCCCTTAGCGGTCGCCAGCAAATTAAACCTTCTAGCTGCTCCTATTATACTTGTAATACATTTCTCATGTAAGATATTCCTAAACTTCAGAACGATGTATAAGAAAGAAATGCTTCGTAAAAATTTCTTCAAATTTTTATAATACTAGCAGGGAATCATTTGCATTCAAATTAATGTATTTCTAGCAGTGGTGGAGGATAGTAGTTATTCTTTCACCAAACACTAACAGAATAAAAATTTCTCATGCTGAAAAGAACTACATAAAACTATTCATATATTTAAAACGCTTAGGAATATTTATATTATTATTGTATTATATATACACATTAAAAATATTTAATTTATATATTACATATATTAATAGACCTGCAACCTCTACCACCTCACTGGCTTTCATCTCTTTGGTACTTTATCTAGATTAGACTCAGGAGTACACTCTGGTGAGTACATCACTGACATGTCTCCATAAGTGCTTGAGGAAGAAACACCCTGGTCTTTGGCAGTTAGATGACTGCTGGACATGAGGTCCTGCTCAACCCCTGGAAAACATGACCCTGTGTCTGTCTGTGCAGTTTGACCACACCCTTAATGACCTAGAACACAGGATCTTGTTTCAGGGTAGCGTACTGCTGTTCAAAGCCGGGAGATGGGCAGCTCACAGGTCTACTCCATATTGCAGCACACATTTTTTTCAAGAAAAACTACATAAAGCAATGTCTCTTGAAGGTTCAGCGCTGACTTAGAGGATGTCCTGCAGGGCAGTCCAAGCTCCTAAGACCACAAGACAATCGGAGCAACAGTAGGCCATTCAGCCCATCAAGTCTGCTCTGCCATTCGACAGATCATGGCTGATCTGATAATCCTCAAACCAATTTTCCTGCCTTTTCCCCATACGCCTGGATTTACTTACTGATTAAAAATTTGGCCATCTCAGCCTTGAATATATTCAATCAACCAGCCTTTACAGCTCTGTGGTAAAAAGCTCTGCAGATCTACTACCCTCTGAGACAAGATTCCTGATCGCTGTCTTAAGTGGGTGACTGTGAGATTATGTCCTTTGGTTCCCGACTCTCTCACAAGGGAAAAGAGCCACTCCAACCCCGCCTCCTTGACTTGCCTGTCTCCTCTCCACCTATCTTCTCCTTTATCCATCTTCTATCCACCTCCCCCTTTCTCTCTATTTATTTCAGAATCCCCTTCCCCTCCCCCATTTCTGAAGAAGGTCTAGACCCGAAACGTCAGCTTTCTTGCTCCTCTGATGCTGCTTGGCCTGCTGTGTTCATCCAGCTCTACACCTTGTTATCTCAACATAGTGAACCTTCTTTAGACTGCTTCTGATGCCAATGTATCTTTCTTTCAACAGGGGACCAAAACTGTTCACAATATTATTGATATGAACATTGAAACAATTTACCAATGATGTAAGGGTCAAGGGAAGAATCCTCATGATTCCGCTCAACCTGCTGTTTTGTCATGAGACACTTCAATGCACAACACTTGGATATGATTTGCTGATGGAACTCTTAAGAGCTATCTAATCTTAACAGCAAGTGGCGTTAATACACTGACTGTTTTTTTTTGTGAAGTTAGTAGGTCATCTGATGTGTGGATACTTGAAAGTGCAATAACCTGAAGATATCAAGCATACATTCAGATGCATAACAAGACATTTATTCTGCAACAGAAAAGGTTAGGGACTGCAAACATAACAAGGTCTTCTGACACACTAAGCTAGAGCTGTTTGCCAGATTACTAACTGAAACTTAAACAATTAAACAAACTCCAAATCAACTCTTTCATTTTGGAAATGGATTTCAATTAGGTTGTCTCTGGTCTCTTGACTCAATGAAGCATTGCTCTGTCATGCTGTCTTGCATGACCCTATTCATCAATGTTCTCATCCTCATCTTCATCCTCAGAAGATTGCTGTTATTCCCCCACTTTGTCTGCATCCACAATATCCTGCCTTTGTTGACTCCACTGTGAAGGGTACAGCATGCCACAATGGCACACCCATTCCTTTTGCCTGATACTTATGTGGCACAAATATTACTTGCCACTTATTAGCCCAAGCCTGAATGTAGTCCATGTTTTGGTGATGTGGATTGCTTCAGTATCTGTGGAGTCACAAATGGCATTGGACATTGTGCAATTATCAACAAACATCCCCAAGTCTGACCTTATGATGGAGGAAAGGCCACTGATAAAGTGGCTAAAGATGGATCTGATCTTCTGATTATGAGATCATTTAGCTCTGCCTATTGAATGCTATTTATGTTGTTTGGCATGCAAGTAGTCTTAGTTGACACTTCATTTCTTAGTATGCCTGGTGCTGCTCCTGGCATGCCCTTCTTCACTTATCATTGAACTACGGTTGATCGCCTCGCTTGATGGCTATTTAAGAGGTAGGAATATGCTGGATCATGAGGTTACAGATTATGGTTGAATGTAATTTTTCTGCTCTTAATGACCTACAATACTTCATGACTACCCAGTTTCAAGGAGCCAGATTTGTTTGAAATCTGTAACAAAGGCAGGATTTTGTCTCCCAAGAGTGGAGCACTGGTCACTCCTATTGATATTGCCCTGCTCCTAATTTGTACGTTTACATTTAGGCGGAGGCAGATAGATTCTTGATCAACAAGACAGTTAAAGGTTATCAAAAGTAAGACAAAATGGGGAGTGGTGGCCAAAATCAGAGCAGCCATGACGTTATTGAATAAAAGAGCTGGATCGGAGGACCAAATAGCTTACTTCTGCTCCCAGTTTGCACGTTTGTTTGTTCTTCTTTTTGTCTGAGTTTGTGCAGTGGCATGCCTATTGGATTTGGACTACTGTTATGGACCAGACCAAAGTCCCTCAAAATATATTAAAAGGATAGCCTAGACCCTAACGTTTTCTTGTTTTAAAGGCAAGTGCAAGGCATTGCATTCTGGATGAAATTCGATAGGTCAAACTAGCAGTCTTGAAGCAAAACACACTTTATTCAT